GGGAGTATCTCTCTCTATGCTCCTCCTTTTGCTCTTTCTGCTTCCTGGCCACCATGACATAAGCAGCTTTCCTTCATCAGACCCTTCTTCTACCATGTCTTTCCTGCTGTGAAGCCAGCCAGCTATGGACTGAATTCCCTAAAAACCACCAGCCAAAATAAACCTCTCCTTCTTTAAGTAGTCAGGTATTTTGTCTCAGTGAGGAGGAAAGTGACAGACACCTGCCATACCAACAACTAAAAACACTTTAATTTGAATGGAAAAAAAAGAGAGATGGTAGGTGCCAAAACCAATATGACACAGATGTTGAAAGTATCTGGCAAAGATTTAAAAGCAGCTGTTTTTTAATGATTTCATTTGTAATTGAGACACAAAAAAATAGAAATCTTGAAGAAATGGAAGATACTTTAGAAAATGGACATTTTAAAACTGAAAAGTACAATAGCCAGAAAAAGTCTGCTCGACAGCAAAATGGAAAGGGAAATCATTAGTGCACTCAAAAATAAAACAATAGAAAATGTCAGCCCGAGCAATAGAGAGTAATTTGAAAAATTAAAACAGAGATTATCATTGATCTTTTGGACTATTTCTAAAAGTTCTGACATTTGTGTCATTAGTATCCCAGGAAGGAAGAAGGTATGGTTGAAAAGACAGGTAAAGAAATAATAGCTTTGGACCAGTGTGGTAGTGCATACTTGTAAACTCAACTACTTGTAGGCTGAGGCAGGAGAATTGCAAGTTCAAGGCCAGCGTGGACAAATTAGTGAGGCTCAAAATTTTTAAAAAGCTGGAGAGGGCTAGGGATTCGGCTCAGTGGTTCCACCACCTGTCTTGCAAGTTCAAGGGCCAGAGTTTGATTCCTGGTACAAAGAAAAAAAAAACAGCTGGAGATATGACTCAGAGCTCCCTGGATTCAGGCTGTGGTATTAGGGAGAAGAAAAGCTTCAAATTTCCCAGTGTGGGAAAGGATATATTCAGAAAGCATTTAAGCAAACTCTGAATAGTAAAAACAAATCCATTTCAAGATACATCATAATCAAACTTCTGAAAACAACAATGACAAATTTTGGCATGTACGTAGGCAGGAAGGGATTTATGCATTAGTTCTTATATACCATTATCTCTTATTTATAATCATTTTCTTTGAACATTGAGGAATAAAATTACATAATCTCCAAATCTCCAAATAGTGATAGCACTTGTTATCTTTTCAATTTTTATACCACTAGTTTATTTCTCTTTTATAATTGTGTGGCTAATATAGTGCTTTCCCATCATTTTCGCATTGTCACACATATAGGAAATTATAATATTTTCGTGAACATTAAATAGGAAATAAGGCCAGAGATGATCAATGTGAGATCTAACTGAAAGGGAACACCGACGCTCAACAACTAAGCCACACACACTGAGAGGTCCGACTGGAGATTTTATTCAAGGAGTGGGAGTAGAGAGAGAGAGCCGAGAGAGAGGAGGAGAGGAAGAAGAGAAGAACAAAGAAAGGAAAGTCCTTTTACTGGTTTTGGGCTGGGTTATTGCTTATTTATGAGGAGTGGGCTACTTTTTAACCTATCACATTCCAGTTTGCCTTTTATGGGTTCAGTCCTGCAGAAACAGGTTTAACTTTTCCATCTCGCTGTGGCCTTGGTGGGAGGGAAACTAAAGATAAGAGCATGAAGTCCTTCTAAGAGGCATGAAGAACCAGGAAAATGCAGCCTGTGATGGCGGCGTCACAAAATACTTTAACATGATCATTTCCCTAACACTCACTACCCTAGGTCTTGTGTGACATATCTGAGATGGATTGAGAAAAAGCCTTATACTTCTCCAAAAACAATGTTTAAAGAAAAAAGTCATGATCAAGAATTTACCTTGTATCTGACTTCAGTGGGAATGCTTTTTTTAAAAAAAATTAATAGCTTTATTGAATTAAATTTTGTGTACTATACAATTTGCAAACTTAAAGTGTATGATGTGTAGTAGATTTTAGCATTTGACAGAGTTGTACAACTAGGACCAAAATCAAATTTAGATTATTTTTGTTATCTCAGAGCAAAACATTCTACCCACTAGCTATCATCTCCCAGTTCTTCCTCCCCCTAAATCTAGGCATCCACTGAGCTACACTCTTATCTTTATAGATTTTCCTATTCTGGAAGATATTTTAAAATTCAAAATAGACCATCCTCGTAGCAACAATAAAGACATTAACATATCCAAAGAAATGGAAATCCTGCAAAATGAACTCTCACATCATATTGGAGTGATACTAGAAACCAACAGCAGAAACATACTTCGAATACTTTTTTCTCTTTTTTCATATTACTAGTTTTTTATTTTATATTTTATTTATATATTAACTTTTTCGTAGAAGGGAAAAATGCAATGTTCAAGCTTGTGTGTCTGATTTACTTCACTTAACATTATGATCTCAAGGTGCTTCCATTTTCCTACAGATGCGTCAAATTTCCTTTCATTATGGCAGAGCAGTACTCCATTGTATATAAATACATTTTATCCATTCATCTATTAGTGGGCATATAGCCTGTTTGCAAGATTTAGCTATTCTGAATTGTTCTGCTATAAACATGAGTGTATAGTGAGAATATTTCTTTAGTACTATTTCATTAATTTATGCTAGTTTAGGATCTAAACTAGATGTATTTTGGCTTATTAAGGAAGTATCCACACACTCTTATTTTATCAAGGGTATTTTAGTCACAATGGATTTTATTTGTTTTGTTTTTGAGTGAGGGTCTCACTATGTAGTTGAGACTGATCTGGAACTCACTATGTAGCCCAGGCTGGTTGTGAACTCACAGCGAACCTCCTGCCTCAACCTCCCTTGTGCTGGGATTATAGGCATGTGCCACCACGCGCGGCATCAAAATGGATTTTAAATCAATAAACATTTCTTAAACACAGCTACTATATATCAGGCTTTGAGACCAAAAGAAGGGATAAAATAAGAGACATGCAATATTAAGAAGAATGCAAGTCCAAATACTTTGTCTCCAATCTGTCCACACTGCATGTACTAGCATTGTGACTTCAGGCAGAGGTTATTTAATTGTCTGGAACCTTAGTGTACTTACTGGAAAATGGAACTAATGGAACTTCAAGGTTGTTATTGTTACATGATTCTACACTTAAAGGAACATGCATTCCGAGGGGGGGGAGAGAAGGAGAGAGAGAGAGAGAGAGAGAGAGATACCAAGGAAAAGGAGAGGAGAAAGAGTGATCTGTGGTCATCTAAAGGAGTGTTTTTAGCTCAAAGAGCAACTTGGCAAGCTTTACAGAGGAGGAAGTATTTAAGCAGGACACTGAATGATGAATAGGGGAGGAACACAGTGTTTGTGAGTGTTTGCTGATGCTTTCAGAAAACTAGTTCAGAATAATTAAACCAGAGGTATGAACAAATGATAAGAGACTAGAGTGGCGGACAGATTGTAGGGCACAACAGGCCTTTAGTATGTGCTGCCCTGAAGATTGTGGACTAAACTGACTCAGGTGTTGAAGAGCATTCACACATCAGGTTTGCTGGTGGTTAGAGTGTCTTCAGTGAATAGAAGGAAGATGCCTTAAGCTGGTGCATTTCAGGGAAGCTGTAGGAAGGGATAGGTTGGGACTGAAGAAGAGGAGACAGAATTGAAATACAGTTAATGAGAGATAAGGGCTTCAGACTTCAGAAAGAAAGGATAAATAGTAATTCACATGTTTTTAGGCTTGGTAGACTGAAGTGAATGGTGAATATATTCAACAAGGTAGTAAATATTACAAGGTGGGAGAAGATACAAAAGAGGTAGACAGCGAATTAACTTACCTGTGGCCAGTTTTAATTTCTTGAGTATTTGAGTGTTCAGAGAAAAAAATACTCTAAAAATTACAGGGATAAATTGTTCACTTTTTTGTAATGAAAAATGGATTTGTCTAATACCACATGTTTTGTCATATGCAGTTGCTAAAAAAGTTGATCTCAAGAGACTAGAATAGTAATTACTACTAGAAGCTAGAAAGGGTAGAGGGGAAGAAGAGAAGAATGTTTGATAAATGTGTACCAGAGCAGTTAGGAGTAAGTTCTAGTGTTTGAAGACTGTAAACACAAAGAAATGATACGGGCTCAGTGGCACTGCACTTGCCTGGCAAGTGCAAGGTCCTGAGAGTTGGATCCCTGGTACTGCAGGAAAAAAAAAGAAAAAAAAAAAAGAAACGATAGTGAAAATAACCTTGAAGTTTTATCAAGCAATGTAAGGATATACAAATATTTTGATTAGAAATCATTACACATTGTATAATGTTGTCCCTCCTAAATACAGTGGACTATCGAGTTATGACTGGCTTGGCTTATGACCAACTTGAGTTTACAACCAGAATTTTAATTTCAACTTAACCAAATTCAACCAGAGTCTTGAGTTACAACCCAAATGCCAGCCACTTGTGCTTCCAGGTGGTCTCAGATACAGATTTATCCCTTAAAGAGTTCTAGAAGGAACATTACAACATCTTTTCCTGTGTGGGGTTAATTGAGAAATCCTGGGCTGAGATCTACCTGGAAGAAAGTATGGTGTAGGAATGAGAGACTTTGAAAGCTGTGTAGAGGAGACTGAGCCTTCAGTTGACTGACTTGAGTTACAACCAGCCTTGCTAATGAATTGAGTTCATAAGTCAAGGGTCTACTATATATATATATATATATAGGAAGTTGGTGAAATACATTATATGGTAGACTAATGAATATGGTAAGTTATAGTATTGCAGAGGACAGTCCTGTTTGTACTGCAGGATTATTAAGGAAAGAGCTGAAGAAAATGTTACCGGCTAATGAAGATCTAAAACAGCTTTTAAGTGATTATACTGTTAATGATAAAAAATTTGAATTTTGGCATTTGAATGTTTTTGAAGTTTTATAAAGATGATATTAAGGTGAATATTCAATCAAATAAAACTTATGTACAAAAATGTTTAAATATTTTTATTCACTGTTTTTTCTTCTATTCTAGTTACAATTTCTGGAAATGAAGAAAATGGTAAGACACTTTTGGTCTCATTTTAAGTAGAATGCTTATGGCATCTTAGTTGGATCTCACCTACTTTTTATTTGTGGTGAATTATAGGTGTTTTTGTTTTCAAAAAGAATGTGTGAGTCAAATGCAGTTACATATGCCTTTAGACTCAGTATTCGGGAGCTAGAGACAAGAGGATCCCTTTAGTTCAGGAGGTTGAGGTTAGCCTAGGTAACACTGAAAGAGCATGTCTTAAAAAAAAAAAAAAAAAAGCAAATATGTACCTTTAAAATTTGAGTACTTGGATTATTCAGTCTTCGAGTTAGTAGATTCTCATCTTGTTATTTATATGAATTGAAGTAGCTACTATTTTGTAAGGTACCTATTATTCAAAATCTTTGTTTATTTGTGTAAGTTCTTGTGTAAGTTTATTTCTGCATGTATGTTCATCATAAGTCCATATTTAGATTCTTTAATATCAGCAGGATTGAGGAGGAGATTCTGTTTTCATGATGTCTAAATCTTATTGATGGTTCTCTTTGTTTATGCATTGTTAAAAATAGCACATACATAGATTTAATAAATAACCTGACTTTGAATTTATAAATTGTATTATTTCTAGGTCAAGGGAATTAAAGTTTTTATAATGACTAGCCATAGAGACAGGGGAAGATCTTTTCTCAAAAATTTACCTGAATTAAAGAATATTTTAAAAGTCCATTGAAGTCAAATTTCAGAAACTATTTATACATTGCCTCTTGGGGATTGAACCCAGGGCCTTTGCATTGAGCTATGTCCTCAGTCCTTTCATTATTTTTTGAGACTTTCACTAAATTGCTTGAACTTGCAATCCTGCCTCAATCTCCCAAAGTGCTAGGATTACAGGTGTGTATCACCATGCTTCACCACAAATATTTGATACAAAAAATCGAGAGAATTTCTCAAATAAGTTGTTGAATAGTCAGACATTATTAATAAATATTTATTACTGGAGACCATCAAGCATTAAGTATTAAGTCTCACGTTTACCTGTATGTCTCATTTTTTTATTTTTGGTACTGAGGATCGAACTGGGGACCTTGCACTTGCAAGGCAGGCAGCGGCACCGCTGAGCTAAATCCCCGGCCCCATGTGTCTCATCTTTTAGTAACAGAAGAAACATAGTAGTCTTAGTAACCCTATCTTACTTCATATTATAACTGTGTTCTGGGTGTTGAGTGCAAATACAGAAAGTAGAGAATTTCAGCTAGATATTATGGCACACCTATAATCCCAGCACTCTGGAAGTCTGCAGCCTGAGGCAGGAGGATCAGTTCAATCCTCTCCTGAGCAATTTAGTAAAGAGACACTGTCTCCCCCACCCAAAAAAAAAAAAAAAACAAAAAAAACCAAAAAAACAAACTGAAATTCTTACAAAATAACTTTTAATTTTCTGTTATTTCTTGAGATCATTTTTACCAGGTCTCTCAAGTAGTCTTTTAATGTTTTTAAAATTTAGTTCCTGGTGATTTTTGAACACAGACTTTGATTTATAGGTTTGTATTTTTCTTTGAGCTTTGCTTTAAATTGCTTAGTTAACATAAGATTTTACTTCATATATTACTCACAGCCAATGTCTTATAGCATGTTGTTTTGGTAACTGTATATTATTTATTATAACTTAATAGTTACCATCTGTTCAGTGCTTACTGTATTTAGGCATTTTGATCAGACATTAATTTTATGGTTTTTATTTAACAATATATTTTAAAGCATTTTTTTCTGCTCATAGCAAAGAAATCATTTAAAAATATTATTAAATGTTAAGAAATATTTCAAGAGTCTTATATGCTAGTCTTGGTTGAAATTTAAGGTCCCTAAATCCTGCCATTTATCTGGAAGCTGTGCAGTAGTATAGATGAGGAATGATAAGCTTGGTTGACTATGGCATCCAGGCAAAAAATAATGGAAATAAGCTAAGTGAAGAAAAACACTCAAAACAATTTTGAGTCCATTGTATAGTCCACAAGGTTTAACTGGAGGAACCTAGCAGCATAGGGCAGTGGTGGCAAACCTATGGCATGCGTGTTGTTTTCTTTTAAGACTATAGATATTAATATATCAGGTTTTTTTTTTTTCCTCAACTAAAACCTTAGTATTCTGGCGTAATTGTAGTCTTGGCACTTTGCTATAAATAACTGGGTTTTGGGTTGCAGTTCAGGCACTTGTCTCTGAATAGTTGACCACTGGCATTTTGAGAAGATGGGAGTTACTAGGATTTTATCTTGGTGTCAGATGTTGGCTTAGAAAGTGACCGTTTACTGTTAAAAAGTGGAGAAAACATGATTTTAGGGATGACATAGTGAAAATAACCTTGAAGTTTTATCAAGCAGATAACAGTTTGAATTCTGGCATTGTCACTTTGAAACTAATATTGGACAAGGTTCTAAATTCTCTTAGCCTCAGTGTTTGTATTTGTCAACTTGAAGAATATCTTAGATGACTGCTGTGAGGGTTAGAAATAAATCACTAAACATAAATGGTTATTTTGAGTAGCTGTAGTCAGATATGGTGACTAGGAAGTCCCAGAGTTTTATCAGGATGCATTAGACATGCAGATGAAGTTACTTTCTAGGAATTTCACAGTCAAGAGGGAGAAGAAACTAGGGGAGTACATTTCATATTGGCCATGGAGAGGGATTGGAAGCAAGAGAGACCTTAAGAAAACAGACCAGTGGCTTTTGCAATAATCCAGATGGAATGGACATCCATGCACTGGCAGTTAAAATAGTGAGGACTTAACTTTGAAAGAAATGTTAGGAGCAAGAATTGGAAGTCATTGTACTGATTAGCCTGGAAAGATAAAAAGGCATTTGAGCCCTGTGTTTCTGCATTAGTTGCCTGTGTGACTGGGATTCTAGTTCCTAAAATCTGCCACGAATGAGTAGAATTTCAAAAGAAAATGTTGGGTTCCAACAGGATTGTCAGTTTTTAAAATCATTATTATTTTATCTAAACAGAATGAGTATTTTAAATCAAAATTATAAGGAAAAATAGCCTAATAAAGATGAGTGCTGCATTGTTATGAATGTTTCTCACTTCACTGCAGAACAGTGAAAACTTCATCAGACCTCAAACATTAGGAACACTGGAATAAGGAATGTGCAGAAGGAACTAGATTCAGGAGAGGAGGACTAAAATGCCTGGGTAGTGATTGTGATAATAGCCAATATTTATTGAGGATTTATTCTGTAGTGTTTTTTCATATTTCTCAGCAACTTTATTGAAGCAAGTGCTTTATTTGAAGTCTGAGCAAATTGTTTGAGGAATGTGCTATAAAGAGGTAAGGAATTCTGAAAGTAATGAAGACTACCCTGTGGAAGATTTGATCTACACCCTAAACATGAGTAGAATTTCAAACTTTTCTACTTTGTCAGTACTCTGTCTTCTTCCGTGAGTCTGTGGTACTGCATCTTAAACAGAAAGAGTTTGAGCACCTGGTAGATAATTCTAGCTTCTTATAGAAACAGTCTTTCTTTGATGTAGAAAAATTGCAAAACACACATACACACCACACATGCACAAAGAAGTTTTAAATTCTGTCAGTGAGTTAACATTTGGCGATAAAGATACTAGAATGTTAATGCTGATCCACTGGGGGGACATTTGTGGTAGGAGTTCAGTATGGTTAAAAGTTTTTCTTGTTAGCCTGTATTGCATGAGAAAATGAAATTTAGGGTACTTTTAGGGTACAGTAGAGATTGAGTTATTAAAATTTACTCATTATTCTTGGTTATGGTAACTTCCTTTATTTTCAGTTCACAATTTCTTGGATTTCATGTTTATGGTAATGGATATTTTAAAATAATTTTTAAATATTTAAATTACTTAAAATTACTGTTTGGAGCCAGGCGTGGTGGCGCAGGCCTGTAGTCCCAGCACTTGGGAGCCTGAGGCAGGAGAATCACTGCAAGTTCGAGTTCAGCCTGGGCTGCCTAGTGAGTCCAAGGCCACATGCACTACACAGTGAGACCCTGTCTCAAAAAAACAAAAAAAAAAATTAATGTTTAGGGAAATCTTGAAACTGAGTGAGTAAAGAAAGTGTTTTTAGCTTAAATCCTTTGTAACTTAATAAACAAGGCTGATAATCCTTTAATATAGGAACAGAGCATTTCTTTGTGTCTAGTAATGTTGTATCATGATATAAAGAAGTTTATATTTTGCATTTTTAACAGATCTTAAATTTTTATTGGATTAAGTCTTCTTATCCAAATAACTGTTTAAATGTAATGCTTTTTCCTGTTTTCCCCGGGATTCAATGAAACATTATTTGTTTTTATTTACCAGGAAAGACCGTTGTTTATCTTTTGGCGTTCCATCTGTTCTTTGTTATGTTTGTATGGTCCTATTGGATGACAATATTCACATCTCCCGCTATCCCCTCCAAAGAGGTAAATTTAATGTTGGTAAATTACCAAATGCTTTAACCTTATTATGGAATTGTTTTCCCTTCTGTTACCTATGTTAAAATTATGTAATACATTTGTTGTGTTTCCATTCATAAAATTACTTAATAATCCATATTGTGAATGTGAGTCATCAACCTATTCTCAGTTACAATTCACTGACATAGCATAATAAAAGTCTAATAGTTCTTTTCTGCCATGACATGTTTTCTTAAAGACATATACTTTATAATACTGGAGTAAAAACACTTCAGGGACAGAATCAAGTTAGAAGAGTTGAGTTAAATTTACATCCTCTCAAGCATGAACAGATATGCTGGAACTAAACAAAATGTTAAATTGTGGAGAAAAATTGTTGAGGCTATTGCTTGCTTGCCACACTTTATTATGACTAGTTTTTCACCTAACTGGAGGTTCCTCTTGGAAAAATAATATTGTTAAACATTTATGTGCCATAGATTGAATTCTTCCTTCACTGAAAATTTAGTGCAGCAAAATTTTTAAGAATATTTACTCTAGAATCAGAATTGGCTGTTTGATTTCCTGATGTTACATGAATACTTAATCTGTCCGACATTCAATTTTCTCATCAGAAAATGGAGCTAACAGTTGTGTCTTTTGCTGTACAGTGGTTTTGAGGGTTCAGATTTCTCAAAGTAAACCTTTAAGCTTAGCACCTACAACATTATTAGTACTAAAAAATTAGTTCATGGTGGTAATATAATTGTTTTTCATGTTGTTTTTAAAAAATCATTAAAATATAGTTAAAACTAATATATTTTACCTTTTAATAGAAAACATCTATGAAGAAAAGTATACATGTCATAAGTATACACATGGTGAAATTTCATGAACTGAATAAATACATCTGTGTGAACACCACCCAGCCAGGTTCAAGAAACAACATTCCCAGTGTCCCATCAGCCTCTTCATGCTTCCTTCCAGTTACCCATATCATGAGAAATACTCTCACCTTCTAAAGGCATAGATTAATTTTGCTCGTTTTTGTACTTCCTAGAGTAGGATTATATATAATACTAATAGTCCTCTGTTAGTGTGTATGCCTTCTTCCATTATTGCTGTTGTATTTGTGAGATTCATCTGTGTTGTTACATACAGTTGTAGGTCATTCTCTTTCATTATTGTTTAGTATTCAGTTCTGGTATATCATACAATTTTATTTACATTCATCTGTGTTGTTACATACAGTTGTAGGTCATTCTCTTTCATTATTGTTTAGTATTCAGTTCTGGTATATCATACAATTTTATTTACCAGTCTGCCATAGATAGGCATTTGAAAGGGTTTCAGTTTAGGGCTATTAGAAATGGGGCTGCTGTAAACATCCTTGTGCATTTCTCATGGGAGATAGATAGATAGATAGACAGACAGACAGACAGACAGACAGACAGATATGATGTAATTCTTTTGGGTAGATCCCTGGGAGGAAACTGCTGTATTGTATTAACTGTGCCTTTAAAAAAAATTTTTTTTTTTAATTTTGTGAGACAGGGTCTCACTATATAGTTCATCCTGGCCTTGAATACACTATGCAGCCCAAGTTGGCCTCGAAGTCATGGGAATTCTCCTGCCTCATCCTCTTGAGCACTGGGATTACAAGTGTGCACCACCATACCTGGCTCAGAATTAATAGAAATGGTCACATAGTCATTTTCCCATTTTTCTTCTGGATGCATGCTTTTGTTATGAGAGGTAAAAATAAACCATAAATCAAACTTAACGTTTCATTCTAGATAATTTTTGAGCACTAGCAATAGTCAGTCAACTGTTAAAGTTGTGTTACAAACTTCTATTCACTTCCTAATCTTTAAGTTGAAAAAGGACCTAATTTTATTTGCTCAATTACTAGTAATGATGGTCATTAAAAATAGAGCCTAGGCCAAGGGTGTAGCTCAGTAGTTCCACTGCCTGCCTTGGAAGTGCAAGGTCCCAAGTTCAATCCCTAGTCTACCCCCTCCCCAAATAGAGCCTGTGTAAAAAGTAAATACAGAAATATGATTCCAGTAATACCAAATAGAAAAAAGAAAAACAATTTGTAATATATTTGAGAAGGAGAATAGTGTAGAGGTTGAGAGCTGAAATTCTGGAACCAAATTATTTGCTTGCGGTGTGACTCCAGAGACTGCTTAATCCCACCTCTGTAAGGTGAGGCGGTACAGTACATACCCCATGAAATTATTGAATTAACTGTAAATTAATGAATCAACTGTATGTAGATAGTTCAATTTATATAGTGAAAGTGCTTAATGCTTAACACATAATACTGTCAAATGTTATTTTTCCTTTTCTGGTTATTGCTTTAAGCATACTGCATTCATTTAAGACTATATTCACTCCACCCTTCATCTTCACTCCTGTAAATTTGTCTGACTGCTCAAACTTTATCCAACAGCAATCTACATTTACCCTGTCGTAGAATTTATCATCTAGTATTGCAATTGCATCTTCACTTTTATGCATCACCTGATTTAATTGTAAACTCTGAAGACAGGGATATTGCCATCATATTTGTTGTTGTCCCCCCAGCCCCTGCCTCCAATCTGGCATGTAGTAACTTTTCAATAAGTGTTAAAAGAATTATTAAATTATGAAATGTTCAAGAGTCAGCTGAGCTCAGCTCTAGTTACAGCCAAGAACTTAAATGTAAGATTCTCTTGTTCACTGAGCTTACATGATGCCATTCGAGATGTGCCATGGAAGCGGTCAAAATGCTGATGTTGGTGCTAATGCAGCTGTCTTAGAAGGGCTCTAGTTCAGAAGTTAGAGGGACATTTTGGAGTCGTGCCTAGGAGAACTGATTGGGTTAAAAAATCAAAAAGTAAGTTTTTAGGGAAGTTATAAATATTTTTCGCCATATTTTCAATTAGGAGCTCATTGAATACCTATCTGACTTTGACCTAGATTCAGATGATAAAAAGACTAATAAGAAGGACATAGTCTTTACATTTTATAGGCACAGACAGATGGTAAATGGACAGCCAGACAATAATTGCAAATTGTGATAAATTTATGAAATTGAGGTAAATTTAGGGGAAAAATCATATGATAGAGCATAGCAGAGCAAAAACTCCTTTAGGGAGAAAAAAAAAGCTCCTTTAGGTAGTGTGGCCAAAGACATCCTCTCTAAGGATGTGGCATACAAGCTTGGACCTTTAAAGTATCTCTAGGAAAAATCTGTTGTATTATTTTATCCCTATTACCTAGATTAAACCTAATATATACTAGGTGAATTCATAGAAACCTGAATAGAGGGATAATGAGGAGGAGGCAGCAGATGAATAGCTGGTAGACCTCTACCATCACCAGATGTCTTTTCTAAAGAGAAGAAGTGGTCCCATCACTCTCTGGTTATAATCCTTAAGGTTGCCATTCTACATGAGATAAAGATCATGCCCACGTGAATAGTACCCAGAAGTCTCCATGAACTAAAAGTTTACTAACGTCATCTCCACTGCATCTGTGTGGAGCTCTACACCCATGTTTTGCCCTGAATGCACAATGTGTTTTCTCATCCTTGTGCTTTCCATGCTTCTCATTTCCTATGTCTTCCTGGAAGACTGATGTTTATCTTTCAGAGGCTAGTTTAGGTACTGCATCTCCAAGAAAGTTTCATTGACAGCTGCACCTGTCTCCCAAGGGGCTCTTCATTGCACTTGGAAATATATTGATTGTGTACTTACACTGATTTGTATTTTCCAATTCTTTGCTTTCATGGCTAATTTTCCTATTAGACTGTGAGGTGTGGTTCTTTTTTTTTTTCTTCATTTTTTTTTCATTAAGTTTATTCAGTACATTTTAGATATACAGTACAGTTATATTCATCATTGGGAACTTGTACCTTTGCATGATGTATCTTGGTTCTTATTTTTTCCCCATTCCCCTGCCCTCCCTTCAAACTTTCCAACTCTCCCTATTTACAAAATGTTTCCATTTTTTCCTTCCCTCATATTTTTCCTTTCTCTTCTTTCCTTTCCCCTACCCCTCCCACCTCTTCTACCCTGTTTAGACCCTTTCTTCCTATTTTACATTATCAGTTGTACATTTTGATCCTTATTATACTTTTAATTTCTTACACCAGGGAAACTATTTGGTATTTATATGTATGTGTCCCATTTATGTCACTTAAGACTGTGGCCCCAGTGTGCATCCATTTAGATATAAATGTCTATAGTTCTCATTCTTTATGGCTGAGTAGCACTCCATTAAAAAAAATCTTCTTTACCCAGTCTCCAGTTGATGGGCAAATGGGCTGTTTCCAAGCTTTAGCTATTACAAACTGTGCCGCTAGAAACATGGGTGCACATATATCACTGTGGTTTCTTTTAATTCTTTTGGGGAGATACCCAGCAGAGGTATAGCTGGATCAAATGGGACCTCTAATCCTAGCTTTTTTTGAGGTATCTCCATATTGATTTCCACAGTGGTTACATCAGTCTGCACTCCCACCAACAATGGAGAAGGATTTCTCCTCACAACCCCACCAGCATTTATTATTGGTTGACTTCTTCTTTTTTTTTTTTTTTTTTTTTTTTTTTGGTACTGGGGATTGAACTTGGGTCCTTGCATTTGTGAGGCAGGTTCTGGAACCACTGAGCCAAATCCCTGGCCTGTGGTTGATTTCTTGATAGCAGCCATTCTTTCTGGGATGAGGTAGAATCTCAGTGTTGTTTTCATCTGCATCTCTGCAGTGACCAGTGATGTGAACATTTTTTTCATATGTTTATTTCTTGCTTTTACTCCTTTGTGTGAGAAATGTCTCAGATGCCCATTTTTGAACTTGATTTTTATATTTGGGGGGTCTGATTTTATATATTCTAGATAATAGTCCTTTGAGAAACATCTGAAAAAAGCTTTTTCCCACATTGTAAGGTTGTGTTTTAGCTCTGTTGGTGGTTTCTTTTACAGCACAGAAGCTTTATAGTAAGATGAGATCCCAGTTGTTGATTCTTTGTGCTAGTTCCCATCCTACTGAGGTTTTGTTCATGAAGTCTTTTCCTATGCCAGTGTCTTCAAGAGTTCTACCTAACTTATCTTCCAGCAAATTTAGTGTTTCTGTTTTAATATTTAGATCTTTAATCCACTTCAATTTTAGTTTATTGCCTGATGGGAGGTAGGGGTCTAGTTTTAATCTTTGGCAGGTTGAAATCCAGTTTTTCCAACACCATTTATTAAAGAGGCTATCTTTCCTTCAGTGAGGATGATTGGCTCCTTTTTCAAAGATGAGGTAGCTGAGTGTGTCTGGAGTTATTTCTGCACCTTATAATCTATTCCGCTGATCCTCAGGTCTGTTTCTTTGCCAGTACCGTGCTGTTTTTATCACAGTGGGTCTGTTTATTTGCCAGTACCATGCTGTTTTTATCACAGTGGCTTTGTGTTATAGTTTCAAGTTGGGGATTTCTTTCAGTTTTTTGAGTGAGTCTTATGTAGTTCAGCCTGGCCCTGGCTGCAATCTTCCTGCCTCGGCTTCCCAGTGCTGGGATTATAGGCATACACCGCCATGCTGGGCTGCAAATTTTCTTTTTTGAAGCAAAGCTTTTTATTCAGGTTTGGATATAGGATCTGAGTTAGTGCCTAACTCTTAATTAGTATTTCATATATTTATGGCCAGGCACTGTGGCACGTGCCTGTACTTTTAGCCACTCAGGAGTCTGAGGCAGGGGCATCACTGTTTCAATCAGTCATTCAATCAATAACACTTAATGCTTTTTAAAGATACTGTTAATTTTTTTTTGATGTTGAAGTTTGAACTCAGGGCATTGGGCATACTATGAATGCAGTCTATCACTGAGATACAATACCTAGCCTAATGTATACTTAAACACTGAACTGAAGATGATAGCCTGGCCTGGTGGCACATATCTATAATCCCACCACTCAGAAGGCTGAGGCAGTAGGATCACAGTGAGGTCGAGACCAACCTGGGCTACATAGTAAGTTCAGGTTCATCCTGAACTGCATAGCAAGTCCCTGTTACACCCACCCAGCACCTGAAACCCCAAAAAAGATAGTACTGGTACTTCACAAATCTGATTTATATTAAATAGTTTTGAATGAAAATAAACTTTTAATAGTAATTTCAAAACTCTAATAATTTTTGTTTTATTCCATTCCTTACTTAAAATTCTCTTGTCTCTTGAAATTTTCATTTATGCTTTTTCTTATTTTATAGACTTAATTAAAAAAGTAATAATTATGAATAGAAGAATATCAAGCTGAGGTCTAGTACTACCTCAGACTAGAAATAGTATAGCCCAAGAAAATCTTTTGAGATTTTGCAAGAAAACTAAAGTTTGATCAGATTGTTTTGTATATACTTCACAGTATACTATGTGATCTTTTTTCTATCTCTGAAAGCATTTTAGGTGAGGGTAAATATGTCAGAAATGTCTGAAGAGCTCAGCCTGTGGTAGGAGATAAGGAACCTTAAAAATGTTCATGTTTAAGATCATGTGAATCTTTCTGGCTGCTTTGTGTACTGTTACTTTAATTGTGTAAGCCAAGCTAAGTACATCTAAATAGACTCTTCTACTAGTTCCTGAATTACGGTGTTTTAGTCAGTTTACAGAAACAATCTATAAAAAGCAGGAACATTTTATAATGACTAGATAGATGAAAATATACTACAGTAGAGTGCAGAAGACCTAGTTTTAATATCAGCTCTGCTAGCAGTCTTATAATCTTCAAAGCTTTCCTAACCCTTTTGGAATCATACTTTCCCAGTGAAGAGCTCTCTGTACTTTGCCAAGCCATTGGCTTATTTATAGCAGAATAGATGTCACTAAGCTTTTAAAAGTGGTGGAGTAGCAAAGAATAGAGGAAGCTTTGGTAGAGGAGCTAGAAGGTAGATCAAAATAGTCCTTCAGTAGGTGAAGCTAGAATTTCAGTTATCATTGCTTAGACTTTTTAAATAAAAATCTGCAAGAAATAAAAATTGAGGAACAATGTTGTTAAAAATATAAAACATGATTAAGAGCAAGTCTCAAGCCATTTTTAATTACAAAGAAATCCGAAATAGACTGTTAGAAACTTAAAAATTCTGCTTACATGAAACCAAGGAATAAAAGGGAGGGTCCTCAAGGTGCTGTGTGGTTAAGAGAAGAAGAGCAATAGACAAGTATTTGTTAGGTAAATATTATTAGAAGAAATGAACCAGAGACTAGCTACATCATGGCAGCAAACATTGAGAGAGCAAGAAACAGCTCTATGAAGGAAACTGTCCTTGACAAAAGGAGGCTGTTCTTGCCTTAGCAATCCAGGATAATTGTGGAGAAAGTAGTGCTGTTTGTTAGCTTTTGAAAAGTTAAAAATGTTGAAAGCCAGGCATGGTGGCACATGCCTGTAATCCCAGCACTTGGGAGGCTGAGGCAGGAGGATCACTGTGAGTTCGAGACCAGCCTGGGCTACATAGTGAGGTCAGTCTCAACTACAAAGTGAGACCCTGTCTCAAAAAACCAAAAAAAAAAAAAAAAGAAAGAAAAGAAAAGTTAAAAATGTTCAAAGAAAGTAAGGACTTGTTGACCTCATTGAGATGTGTAATGAAAAAGTACCAGAACCCCATGCTGTGATCTCATCCGTTATGTAAAGCAGATAAAGCTTTGAACATTCTTCTAAAAATTAAATATTATCTGACAGTAACTTTTAAATAACACATTTTTACCTAAGGAAAAAAGTTGGGAATGTGTGTGTGTGCGTGCACATGTATATGTGTGCATGTGTGTGTTTTCCTCTTTTCTCTTTTGTTGGTGCTAGAAACTGAACCCAGTGCCTTATGCATACCCACTGAGCTACACCCCCAATCCTAAATAAAATATATATTAAGTCATTTGGGGGATGCTGGGAAGACTCTGAGTTTAACATGTTTCTGCTACCTTGAACCACTAGTGGTACATGTGTGACTGTCTCATCAGGCGCCTTCTACCACCCATGGGACTGTCCCATGTTACCCAGTGGAACAGTCACACATGTACCACTGGTGCTTCAGAGCCATCTATAGCAAGGCACACGGATTACAACCCCATTGTAAATATGTTAAAACCCAGTGGACCCCCAAATATGTTTTTGATGAATAAATTTAGTTTTACCTGTAAAAAAGCAAAATTTTGCGCTCATATTCTTTGGCATCATTGCTATGGAGGGTAAATTTTAAAAATTTGTAGTTTTTGTTAAAATGTATTTGATTTATCTTAAAGTTAAGTTTATTGCCTTCAGAAAACAGAATATTTGTGGGGTACTGCTTCTGTTCTAGATAAATCTGAGCATGAGTGTTAACATCTTGGGATTAAACAATATTTAATAGTTTTCTCTTTTTGTAGTTCTACTTGTCCACTTCTGAAAAGGAACGTTACGAAAAGGAATTTAGCCAAGAAAGACAGCAAGAAATTTTGAGAAGAGCAGCAAGAGACTTACCTATCTACACCACAACAGCTTCAAGAAGTAAGAAAACAATCTTAAGCTTTCTTTTCCAAAGGATGTTTAAAATGTGCTGATTTCTGCCAGGGCATATTCATGGATTGACTATTTGGGGTTTTTACATTGTTAAAAGTAACATCTGTGGAAACAAAATTTCCTGTTTTCTACACGTTCTTTGGTATTTCAGTTAAAAGTGTAGATGAATATTAAATATATCAATATAGGTTTTTAAGGGACTCTCTTTAATATGAATCTCTTTTTCTTTTACCCAACTCTCCCTGGCTAAAAATCTCAATTGTTATCCCTAGTAAACTATCATTTGGAAATTTTGGTTTGAATATAACTATTGTGTGTCTTCACTGACTAATAAAGAAAAATCAAGAATGTGCTGAAAATGGGGAAAAATAAAAGACATAAAGGCGAAGAAATTTGCTCACAGGTATATAAAGCTGATATTCTGAGGCCAAGCTATGAATTCAGGTCTGTCTGCCTCTGAAGCCCATATTGCTTCTTCTGTACCACTGACTCTACTGTTGTAACCACAGCAGTTTCCTCTCCTCAGGGTTCAGCTCTGTAATAGGGAGGAATCCCAGGGAACAGGGGTGACTGAACTGACCATTGAAATATAGGAAATATCTTACTTTGTCTCATTGCTGAGACAAAATACCTGATACTCAAAGGTGGAAAGGTTTATTTCAGCTCACAGTATATAGAGGTTTCAGTCCATAATCAGGTGGCTCCAGAGCAGGGTGCCGTGAAAAGGGGGCATCGCAGAGGAGAAACAGTTTGTAGCAGGGAGAAGGCAGCAAAGCTTCTAAGTAACAAGCGACAACCCTCCTTCTGTCCCTTATATCTTATCCAGGTTACCCTTAATCTACCATTGCTTCCTTGATCCCAGCGTCACACAGCCTAGATCTACAGCCTTAGAAAAGCCCCACCTTTATGACTGCAGGAGGCCTTGCGGGGGCATCTAGTTATAAGCCATAACAGGAAGTCAAATACTAGAGTATTGTCAGCTTAACAGTTATTGTACTAAATGCTTTACACATAAGAATTTATTTAAACTTCATAGCAACGCTAAGAGGTACATACTGTAGTCCCTAATTTGCCCATGAGGAAACTGAGTCACTGTTCCCAAGCAGTCCAGTCCCTGAGTAGGAAAACTGGACTACAGGGGCTGTGAGACTAAAGATAAAGACCGATCCTGGGTTGCACAAAGTGCATTTATTTGGGGGAATTACTGGTAGAAGCTTGGTCCTTTGTGGCAGAAAGACCAAGTGGATACCCACAGTTTGGGTCAGAAGAAGAGATGAACATACTGGTTAGGACCAAGTGACATCATCTCTGTATCGTCTAGCTAACAGGCCTGGTCCAGTGGTCCAAAACTGCTCTATACAGTAAGTCCCCAGCTTGCAAACATTTGAGTTGTGAACTTTGACAGGTGTACTGTATAAGACTCCTCTATCAGCTTATAAAGCAATCAGACTTGTAAACAGCTCCTGGAACGGAACTCATTTGTAAGTCAGGGACTTACTTGTATTCTGGTACACTATTGAGGAAATAGTGACTGGGGTTCCTGTGGGGCAGTCATGGTAGGAGTTACAATTCAGGATAGCTGCATTTATGTCAGATTCAATCCATACAGATGCAGAGAGGTTTAAGTAATTTGATCACAGTCATACGGGCAGTTTGGCTTGGTGTTTTTAGTTCCAGAGCCCTCTAGTCTTCTCAACTCCTAGGGAAAAAGAAAGAGCTCTGCCTTTGTATAGTTATGTACAAATTGTAACTCAAGAAAATTTTGTGTCTGCACGATTTAAGGAAGAGATATTTGACTGACTTTTAAAATGCACTTAACACTGTTCATTTTACATTATCAATATATTATGGTATAGAATGAAAATATGGATTATAAATTAAACCTTAACTTTTCCTTTGCTGTTGCTGTGCCAGTCACTTAAACTTCTAAGCCCTAGTTTCCTCATTTTAATGTAAGAATAATAGTATTTATATCTCTAGGTCTGTGAAAGTATTAAATGAGAGAATATATGTAAAACATTTAATTTACTATATTTTAGCATATAATACATTCTCATCAGATTTCATTTTCAGCAGATGACAGCTAATTTACTATAATCCTTTTTTACATTTAATTCAGAAGTCTGGTTTATGATGATTGTTAATAGTTGTACTTCTATAAATTAGGAGTTTTTGGGCTGGTGATTTAGCTCAGTGGTGCCACTCCCTGCCTCACAAACACAAGGCCCCAAATTCGATCCCTGGTACCAAAAAAATAAAAATAAATTAGGAGTTTTTAACCTGGTACCCATTTTTTCAGAAAATTTATGAATCCCTGAGATCATATGCAAAATTTTTGGTACATAGTTTTCAGAACAGCCTATTCATGGCAAAATCATCTGTTTTCAAAGTAGTGCATATGTCCCAAAAGTAAAGAGGTATTGTAAAAACTTTATTCCTAAAGATTTACTACTTTTTATTTATTACAGTGGCTTTCCTCTAATCTGCATAGCACCCATCATCTATTATTACACCAAACATTTGCTGAGCACATTAACAACTCTGAGAGAGGATCTTGGTCTTGTTGCCACTGTAGAGATGAGAGAATGAGCCACAGCGAGGTGACCAGAGTCCCCTTTGTCAGCCCCATTTGGGACTATATTTCTATAGCCTAGAATTTGAAATTCTGTAAGTTTTTTTTGGTAATAGAAATGATAACCTTTTTATTCTTTCAAGAATAAAATTATAGATATGTGCATTGAAGAAAGACCTGTGAGATACCATACAGTATTAAGTCTTAGAGCTGGAGTTGAGGGCTAGAGGACAGAGATGATAGAGACTTTGTTTTGACTACCACTGTGTTTTGTTGGTAATGTTGGTGTGGTTTGGTTTGAGATGGTCTTGCTTTGTACCTGAAGTTGGACCCGAACTTGAGATCCTTCTCAGTCTCCTGAGTGCTGAGATTATAGGCATGCAGCACTATGTTCAGCTCTATTTGTGCTTTTTAGAACCATTTGAACATATTATCGACCCAGAAAACATAATGAATTCTTTGAAACCTTCCCCTCCACAGTGTTGCTAAAAGTAACCTCTGTCTCAAATCTTTGCCTCATACTATTTCCATTTGTGAGTCTTATGCTTCAAATTGTACTAAATCACCCTGTCCTTGCTCACTGTTTTTTGTCTTTTTCTGTCTGGAATCATGATTTTCTTTGCCATAAATCCAGTTTAAAGTTTTAATTCAATGTCCATATCTTTTCAACCCATTTTTGTTTAGTAAGAATGATTCTTTTAAAAGTTGACTGAACTTCTGAGATCCTTACCTTGTAGATTATAAATCATTGCATAATGGTTATTTATGTTCCTCTCACCTTCTTGACTTTATTCCACACCCCTAATGGTGAGGAGTTTCATTCACAGTCCCTGTACAATATCTCACTAAACAGATGATCAATAGGTATTTGAATTAATCTGTTCTTGACATAATCTCTTCCTGGGTGGGGGTGTGTGTGTGCATGCTTATAGTCCTGAGAATTCAACCCCCAAGACTTTCTCACTAAACTATATCCCTGGCCCTTTTACATTTTTGAGAAAGAGTCTTGGTAAGTTGCCCTGGCTGGCCTTGAACTGTAATCTTGGTGCTTCAACCTCCCAGATAGCTAGGGTTACAGGCACACCACACTGTGCCCAGCTCTGGGTATTCTCTTTTACTAATTTTCCGCATCAGAGCCTGACCTTATTTTTTGTCGTAAATAATGGTATTCATTAATAGTAATAGCATCATGATAATAACTAATTTATGGCGAATCTGATATGGTCTAGCATTTAGTTTTAATTCTCATAATAGTCCTTATACTTGGTGTTGTTTATATTTGCAGATGAGAAATCCATGGTTTTGGTAAGTCACAGACCCAAGTTCACAAACTAGGAAGTGAAAAAACTAGTATCAGACCTAGCAGTTAACTGAGCCTTGCCAACGCCAGGACGGTGCTTATGTACTATGCCTTTGCAGACTAACGTCCTTTATCTCACTTACCTCTTTATATCTCCACTCTTGTTCTTTTTTTTTCTTTTATTGAGTTTATTGGTACATTTTAAGTATACAGTACAATTACATTCATTATTGGGATCTTGTACCTTTACATAACAGGTCTTGGTTCTCATTTTTTTCCCCCGTCGCTACCCTCCCTTCACCCCCTCCTCACCTCCGCATTTACAGACACTTCATTTCCATTTTTTTCAAGAGAGGATCATCAAGAAGATCATACTCTATTCTGTTTGCTAGTATCTTATTAAGAATTTTTGCATCTATATTCATTAAGGAGATCAGCCTGTAGTTCTCTTTTTTCAGTTGTGTCTTTCCTTGGTTTGGGAATCTGAGATAAACTTGTACCTGGTGCAACATTCTTCCTGTATTTCCAAAAGAGGAAATTACAAACTCCTGCCCCAGATCATCCAGTAACCACTACCTAGGGATTCCTCATTAATCTTGGTGTGTGTCTTTCAATCCAGCATCATGTGGCTGTTACTAGAGCTTCATTCTTGTATTTCCCACTTCCAAAGTATAACTGTTCTTTCATAACCTATTCAAAACTTAAAACTCATACAAAAGCAGACTTACCCATTTACAACCTAGTCCCATGGTGGCAGATGGCAAGTTGGCTTTGTTCGTTTTTATTGTCGGTATCCAGCAGTGTTTGTTTGATGTAAAAACTCTAAATATTGGTTAAATGAATGAAAAAGTACTCTTAGTTTTACCCCAGTGAAACCCTGGCTATATTTATGTTCTTGGCACCATCTAGCTGCCTTAGGCAAGAAACCCAAGTTTCCTTTGATAGTTACTTTTATAGAGAGCCAAATAGTACTTACCAAGCTCTGTCTTCCAAGGTCCATGTATTTTCATCCCATCCCAAAGTCTTAGTATTTCATAACTTCCTTGATGTCAGGATGTCTAGTGGCATATGTAGAAGAAAAGGAAAGGAAGTTTCTTGCCTTCTGCCCAGAGCTTCCTGTTCATTTAGTGTATAACCTTAAACAGGTTACTTTTGCTCTCTAGGTGTCAGTATGTTTTTATGTATAACATGAAGAGATTGAACTAGAAATCTGAAAGGCTTTTTCTTTATAGTCCTACACTGTATGGTAGCCTCTCCCTAATTCATAGCCCAGGAAAGATAGTATGAAAAGGCCCTCAATAAAACATAAAACAATAAAACATAACTAATTCTTGTGTAAATTCCCTTCACCTAAAGATTTAGGGGGTGGGGGTACGAGGATTGAACTCAGGACCTTGGACTTGCAAGGCAGGCAGCAGCACCACTAAGCTAAATCCCCAGCCCAAGAAATTTTTGTTTAGATTAGAAACATGGTTTGAAAAAAAAAAAAAGTTGAAGGACACCAAGTGAAAAATCTTTTTTTAAGTGTTTTTTTTTGAGACGGTCTCAGGTCTCACTATGTAGTTTAGACTGCTCTGGAACTCACTGTGTATCCCAGGCTGGTCTCAGACTCAGTGATCCTCATGCCTCAGCCTCCCGAGTGCTGGGATTACAGGTGTGCTCTACCACGCCTGGCTCATCCAAGTGAAAAATCTTTCCCTCATCCCTGGCAAGACTCCCTAGAGGCACTGTGTCTTGTGTGTCATATCAGAAATGTTTTATACATAATGGAGCATTGCAAAACTAATGTGTACATAATTAACAAATATGGTGGGTAAAATATTGACTAGTGTGGATTTCGTTACCTGGAGAGATCATCTATCAGTGGTACCTTCTAGCATTGCTTAAAATATAGTTTATCTCTTTCTTGCTAATTCAGTTCTTGAAGGTGAATACATTTTATAGGGATGTGGTAGTCATATGAGTAAAAAGAAAACAATCTTTTCTCTTTGCCAGTGGAAACAAGCACATATTCAAACTACTGCATGATTTGCTTTTTCCATTTAACATATTTGCATTTTTCTGCATGAGGTCTGTCAGAACCAAAATTTCAACAAGTTTAGTTTTCAAGACCAAAATGGCTTTTATTGATTTGTGAACTGGATGGCATCTAGTTTTACAAAATAGGAAAGAGTTTGGATGAGTTGAATGTAGGGCCAGGCTTTATAGGCCAAAAAAAAGGAACAAATACAGATTGGTGATTTCGAAGTTGCTTTACTATAGGACTATAAGTGAAATCTTGTTAGCTTAATGGGATTTGGTTGTCATCTCTTTTCTTATCTCTCAGAAGTTCTACTTTTCTAGGTAAACAAGTTAGGTTTCTGTTTGAAACCTTAGCATGAGTGACTCCATTTTGAACCTGCTGCCTTTTCCTTAATGGGACATATAAATGTGTTTTGTATGGGAATTTTTTTGTTAAAATCTACATAGTATTTCAGTGTATGGATATACCCTAAAGTGCTTAGCCATTTCTTAGGTCCATCATTCCTCATGTTTTATTAAAAACAATGCTGTAATGAAGATCTCTATTCTTTTGTTGTTCTTAATTGAAATCAGGCATGCACCTGCCTCAGGCTCTATGCCCTCTGATTAGAATCCTATTTCTTTCAAATAACTGCATGTCTTACTAACTTGATTCTTTCAATTTCACTTGTCTCAGATGTTTCTCTAAGGGCAGTGCCCTAGTTCTCCTTCCCTTCTATCACTAATTTACTGTTTTAGTTAACTTGGTTATTAGTCATCTTCTTCAATAGAATATAGACTCCATGAAGGCAGGGATTTTTGCCTAGAATGATATCTGGTACCTAGTTGGTTCTTTTGAATGTCTTTTGAATGAATGAATATATGAATTAGGTAATAGTAGCCTATATTTAGTGCAAATTTAGTGGGAAACGGATTTTTTTGAAACTGTCTTCAGTTTTGGTGTTTGGTGTAGGGATGGCAGATAAGTTTTGTTTGTGTATGTATTTAATAATACTGTTTGAGAATTTCACAACAAAAACCTCATAGGATACCTTGTTGTATACCTTTTTATGTTTAACCATAGGCATTGTGGTATAGCTGGAGAAAAATACTTGATTTGGAACTTAGTAAATCTTAGCTGTCGCCTACTTGTGCTGCTCACCTTGGTGTTTAATATTGTTCAAGCCATTCATTGGGTTTGGATATTCTTTATTCAATATGAAAAATTCTGGAAAAATAACTAGTGAGGTTCTGTCCTATCTCTTGACACTTTGATTTGAGGAGATCTACAGTGCATTTTGGCAATTTTAAAAAATTACAGTTATCGGGCCGGGGATTTAGCTCAGTGGTTCGGTGGCCTGCCTTGCAAGCGCAAGGACCCGAGTTCAATCCCCGGTACCAAAAAAAAAAAAAATTATAGTTATCAATTTCCC